CTAAGTTGATAAAGAGATATATCATGATAGTGTGCATTTACTCCGATAGTCAAGTGGCTATACTGACTATGAGTTCGCTCTAAACTAGTCAGGGAGTACATAACCTCATAAGCAATAGCTTCAAGCTTTTTCCATATTCGACTTTTATGGGTACCCGGTCACAACGGAATCGCCGGAAACTACAAATCCGATGAGCTTGCTAAAGAGTGCACCTTACTACAATTTCATCCGATTGGAACTAGTCGGCTTTCTGATGTCCTCTTGCAATCTAGATCTATAGGTATGATCTCCAGTGAGCTCGGCAAGCGCTGGTCAACAACCAGAACTTGTGCGACTGCGAGATCCTTCTAATCCAAAGTTAATCGTAGGATGTCCTCCGAACTACAGCCACTTAGCAAAGTCAAGCTCGCCGCAATTGTAGATGTTCTGATCGAACACTGTCCAATAGGTACACATGGTGCACGGTGCAAGCATATATTTTGACGAAAACTCTTTTTCAAAACTGTATGAAGGAAGGCGAGGTGGAATCAGCTTGTCACTTTCTACTCAATTTCCCCGCTTTTCCCAGACTGATATTGAAATATCTCGGTAGACACACCTTTGCAGAACCTAGCGAAGTGACTGGGTTGATATTGATCGCCTTAATAAATTTGTGGTGAGCTCAAAACGTGCCATCAATCTATGAAGTGATGCACTTGAAGCAGCTTTTGAGTAACACATAGAACAAATATCTGTCCAAGTGAGATCCATCGACTTTTATATCAATCCTAAAACCTAACCTAACCTAACCTATAGTGATCTGATATCGGCGGTTCCCATGAATGAGACGCTTCTTAGGAAGAAAAGGACATAAGCAAAATTTCAAGTCGATATCTCAAAAACTGAGAGACTAGTTCGCTTATATACATAGATAAATATAAGGGCAGATAGACGGACATAAAGAAAATCGAACAACTATACTTATATAACATAAATCGCCTATACAAAAAACATCAAATAAGTTTAAATTGTATTTTCAGAAATATTTTCAAATTTGATTTTTATGAATTAAATTTTTCAATTAACAAAAACTCGAAGGGACAAGAAAAAAGTCGTTCGTATGGGAGATATATATAATAGTCGTCAGATTTTTTTTCTTTCCACTGTCATTTTAAGTACTATATAAGTACATATGTATGTATGTATATTAGAGAGCAGTTCTGCAAAATTACGTGCTCTTAGCTTTTTAAATAGCTAAATAATCAGTTGTGTGGGAGATATGTGATATAGTTTCCGGTCAGGCTGATTCCGACAACTATGTATCAAATTACATTCGGATATCTCAAAAACTGACGAAGAACTATAAGAAGATTTATAATCTCGAAAAATTAAACCTCAACTAAACAATCGCCAGCTCGGAACCGGTTTTAGTCTCATATTTTCTTAGGCAAAGATGTTTAGAATGATCCGATGAACATTACCCACATACGCGTTTTTTTAGAAGAAAATAAAACGACTCGTACATGGAGATCGGTGTACTCGCATATTACATCTAAGCGACTTTTGTATCTTGATGGAAATGTATACATATGTCCATATATTATAGGTATGTTTATAGGCATAAATATATACATACACACATATGTGTCACACGAACGCTCTAACATCGAAATGAAACTGTTGCACATGTCGTCCTCCATCAGTGCAACCTTAACTTCGACGCTCAAAACGAGGGCAACTCTACGTTGCATAATCTTCACTTCCTTTGCTGGCCGGCAGGAACACTGCAATAGGGAGGGTATCGCTATTGGTTGCAGCAAATAAATGTATTGTAAATATTTATATACATATATACATGCATATGTATATAGACGAGTATATACATACATATCTCTAGCTTATAGCAGCGCGTGCAAGTGATATGACTTACACATTTGCTGCTAATCAGGACGAAATTCGCTGCAATAGCTCCAAATAATGTGCACATGTGCATATATACATACATCTATATATGTGTGTGTTGCTATATTTGCTCTTTGCATTAGCATAAAATTTAACTAAGAAACATAGAGGAAATTCACAGAAAAACTGAAAATTCGAAAACGCTTGCAGATGTTAGTCACAAATGTAGTTACTTGTTCATACATATAGTATACAATAGGGTGGGTAAAAAAAAATTTACTATCTATTATTTTTTTACTTTATACGCTGTATACATTAGGGTTGTTAAAAATATATATTATATTTATATATTATATATTATTGTATATTTTTTTAGTATATTATATTTTTTTTTTACTTATATTATTTTATTATTATTTTTTTTTTTTGCTTTATACTCTGAAACATTGGTTGGTTATTAAAAGTACAGAAATTTGCCATAAAATAATTAAACATTAACGTTTAACAACTTTTGGAGACAATTTTTGTAGAGCATGCAATTTGCTACAAACATAAAAGACGAGATATTTTTTTCAAATAGAAGATACTAAATAATACATTTTTCTTACCAATAATAAGGCAAAATTAGGAAATTGAAAAGCGGAGAACTTTGCTATTAATACTAAGCGCTCATACTTGGAGACAATTACCAAGCAATTTTACAATGTAGAAACTAAAAAATATGGTATATATATTTTTTTTTTTACGCACCCTAATGTACCATACATATGTATATTTGTATATAAATAACCAAATAGGACATTCACACTGCCGCGGCGCATTCCCAGCGTTTGTCAACTGTAATTTCATCCTGACAGCCGCGCGTCGTAACGCCAAGCAACAGGCGGCCAACAATCGTCTTTACTCGTTTTCTCAAAAATCATTAGCCTGCTCCCCACTGCCGCTCCTCCCACGTTGGGTACACTGTACGTGTGCAGCCAAGGGTACAAATAACTATGCATACATACAAGTATATATAAACAACCATACTCGTTATTTGTATAGGCACGGATGCGAACGCGGCATTTCCAGCATAGTTTTGTGCTCCTGCACGCTCCGCGCCACGCCATGCCTGTGTTTACATTATCACTTATATGCATATATATGTATATATATGTATGTAGATATGCGCGATTGTTGATCATTTTAAGTAATTTGTATGCATTTTTGCTTTTTTCTGTGCGTATATTTCCCGAATTTCTACTAGATACACCAATTTGTGCGTTCTTCGCTCGCTCTATGTCTCTATGCATTTTGCTTTGCATTTATTTTTGTGCGTGCCGCATTGTTGCACATGCAATGTGGCAATGTGACCATGAATTTTCAACTACGCAACGTTGCGTTCTGGCATTCAGGCGGCGGCGGGTTAATGACCCCCACGCAGAAATGCATTTCCACGCCGAAAAGAGTGGCAAAACGAAATTATGTGGAGAATAGAATTTTTGTAGAATCTGTACAGGAAACTCGATTGGCGAGTTGAATGAAGCGGATCGCATTGTTGCTGCGTAAAATGTTTCTACACACACATCAACATAGTTGCAATGTAATATGTATGAGTTGAAGAATTCTTATATGTATATGTATGTACATATAGCACAAAGTGCGTGAAGATGCGCCCCCATGCGCGATTTGACGAAACCAGTATTCTCTGAAGAAATTTTACATAATTATGTGTAACAAAGTGGAGTTCGAATTCAATGAAATCCAGCAAATATTTATATCGTACTGTGATTATAAAGTAAAGTGAATATGTTTATAAAATGTAAATTCTTTATTTATTCTTCCAAATCCATTTCGTCCCCTTCAAAGTAATCCCCGTCCGATAAAACACACTTTTGTCAAAGCTTTTTCCAGTTGTCGAAACAGGAAGAGACTCCTCGTACCTTCTTCGATTCGGTTTTTATCACCTCAATCGTGTCAGAACGACGTCCCCACATTGGGCTTTTGAGTTTGCTGAATAGCCAGAAGTCGCACGGAGCCAAACCAGGTGCATAGGGTAGTTGCGGAACGATATGAGTCGAGTTTTTGGCAAAAAAGTCGCCAAAAACCAATGCAGTTTGACATAGTGCACCGTGTGGCACCAAATAGGCTTGACGCATTTGAGATAAAAAAAAAAATTTTGAAAATGATGTTATTCCAACACTATCAGGTCTCCAATTGTCAAACGATGCTTTTCAAGCACCAAGCCTTTGACTTTTTGAACCAGCAAAATCTTCCTGACCATTAATCCTAGTGTGATTGTCGTTTGCGCCGGCTCATCGCGATTCGACCACGACCAGTTTCGCTTGACGTTGTCGCAAGTGACCCACTTTCCATCACCAGTAACCCTAAAAAAATCCGTCAAATTCTTATACATATCGACTTTATATATATTTATAACCTGCACAGCATATATTCAGTTTGCCACGAAGTTAGTAACACCCAAAAGGAAACGTCGGAGACCCTACCAAGTATATATTTAATTGATCAGTGTGACGATCCGAGTCGATTTATCAATATTCGTCAGTATATATGAGAACTAGTCCCTCAGTTTTTGAGATATCGGCGACATATTTTGCATACGAACTTTTCTCACCAAGAAGCTGCTCATTTGTCGTAACTGCCTATATCGGACCACTATAGCATATAGCTGCCATACAAACTGAACGATCGGAATAAGGTACTTGCTATAAAAAATGCACCTGTGAAGGGTATTATAGCTGCGAACCGAAGTTTACATTTTCTATTGTTTCTTCATCTTATTATAAAATATGTGCTTGTAGAAATAAAGATTGAATGTTTAAGTATTTATAGAGATTTAAGTACAACTTAACCCATTAACAACTTATAAAATCTACAAAACCTAAATCTTATTTAATCTCCTAAAGGCTTACCTAATGATCTTTGTGTGCAAGCAACCACAAGAGTCACAAAAGCAACTACATTTGTGAGCGAACACAAAAGGACATGCAAGGTTATAAATTGCCTTTTCCCACTTCCCTCTAACATTTGTAATTTTGCTGCCAATAAAAGATTTTACTGTGACGCAAAGAAACACCTGCAAATAAAACGAAATCGAAGGCGATGGGAAAATTGCTGAGAATAAAACTACCAAAACAATGCCACCATATAAACGAACGAAACGAAGCAACGTAACGAGGTAAACATTGAAAGGAATAGAAAAATACAAAAGGTAAAAATCAAAGATCAACAGTTCAATAACCCAAACATAATAGCAATGTTGCAACACCTACAGCATGCCACAAACGGCAATGCAACAGTGAATTGTGAATACAGTGACAAGTGAGGGGAATTCGACAGGTCGAGCAACGAAGGACCTTTTTCTTGGTTTTTTGATTTTCGTGTTGCATGCTACAAATTCAGTTGCTTGGGTGAGTGTGTGTGAAATGTATCTATATATATTTAATTATTGATAGCTGTAATTTTATAAATGGGAAATTGGAAATCATTAAAAGAGAAATATATAAATAATATGTAAGTATATACTTACAAATATAAATATATATGTATATACTTATGCATACGAGTATATAAGCGCTAAGATTGCGCACTTACTTTGCTGGAAAAAATAAATAAAAATAAACTGGTTATAAAACCTGAATTTTTTACTTGTTTTTAATCGAAGATACAAATGTATTACTTGGGGAAATTAAAATTGTTAAAATCAGCGTGTTTAATAAACCCAACTTTTTTTGTGACTGTTGCATGCAACAGTTTTTTCTATTTTGCTATTAAAAATACATTTCCTTGAGATTTTTTCCCATGACTTTTTGTGCCGTCATGCGGCTTACATCTGCGTTTCCTTTCTTAGATATGACAAGATACATACATATATATATATATATATATATATATGTTACAAGTGTACAAGCATACTTGTATGTTTATATTATATTATATTAAGGTTTTGCAATATTTTACCTGATGCGCCTGTGAATGTGGTAGCTCTTGCGTTCAATGTAAAGAATTAAGAATGGATTGCAGTTATCATAAATATGTATGTATAAATAGGCACCAATTTGGCTTTGATCGCTGAAACTGGCCGTGTTATCCTATGTACTGTTACTATAAATATTCAAAAAAGGAGGCAACCCATATAGAGTGCGTTGGTGGAAGGGAAGTAGCTTTTATGAGCACTAGTTACTACTTAGATGCCTGTTTATACAAACATATGTATGTAGCTCCATGTGTATATAACATAGTTAAAACAAACAAAAACTTTTACTTCAGCTTCCGAAGCTATAAAATCTTTCATAAGTGCATTTCTTGTAGCATAAAAGTGTATAAAAGGATCTTTATTTCGCTTTTGATTGTTCAGTTTGTATAGCAGCTATATGCTATAGTGATCCGATATGAATAATATGTTCGGATATGTTAGCAATATTTTGAAAAATAATCTATGCCGAATTTCGTGTAGTTATCTTGTCAAATAAAACATTTTTCTATACAAGAACTTAATTATGATTATTCAGTTTATATGACAGCTATATGTTGTAATGATCTGATCTGAACAATTTCCTCGGTGATTGTATGATTGCTTTAAACAGTAACTCATATCAAATTTCGTGAGCATATCCCGTAAAATAAAAAAGTTTTCCATACAAGAACTCTATTTCGATCGTTCAGTTTGTATGGCAGCTACTATATCGTACAGTGGTCCGATATCAGCGATTCCAACAAATGAGTAGCTTCTTGAGGAGAAAAAAAAATATGCGAAATTCCAGATCGATATCTGAAAAACTGAGGAACAATACACCATATATACATATGTATATTTATAGATATGTATTTGACTGTTTTCGCTTGTACTCGTACGTCTGCACACATATTTTTATATATCTATGTACAATCGAGTATAAACTACAAACATACATTTGTAAATATGTACTTGTATGTAACTTTTTCTACAGTTTTCTACTATTTTCTCAAGTGCATCAAAGAAGCTTTGTTAATTCTGCTTCTGTTTGCTCAACTTGTTTATTACTTGCTCCCGCGACGTGGTGAGATGCTGTTTGCATTGCCGTTAAGCCAATTGTACCTCGTTATGTGCACATACGAAAAAGGGAGTTGTGACGATTTTCTACTCGCCAAGACGCGACAATTGTCATTTTGACAGCGTCATTTGTTTTGACAAGTGGTTAGTGTGTGTGAGCGAAGAATGCTAAAACTTGAGGTTTAAAGGCATTGAAACGCGTCGTGTCTGTTTTTCTTTCTTCACTACTTACTATGCAACCAATTTCTTTTTTTTTGTTTTTTGCTATTTTTGTGCGCACTCTTATTTTTTGGTTACTCTTTTGACTGATTAATTTGACACTTTTGACAATTGAGTAAATGTCATTAGGGGTTGACAATTGTTCGGTACTTAATTGCTGCGTATTGTGAAGCGCACGTCTTCGGCTTGATTAAACTGTATTATCAAAATGTTTCAATAGACGCAACAAAAACAAAAAAATAACAAAATAAATTGCAGCTCATTAATTAGATATTGGCTAGAGCTCTTAAACCGAAAGTTGTTGCATCTGCAAACATACATACATACGTATGTATATTTATGGAGCACGAACGCTGCATTTTTAAAGTCAGTTTCTTTTTGCTTCTTTCTTTCTGACATAGGTCGATTCTGTACAAGTAGGAGTTTAACAGTACGTTGCTACAGTATCCAGAATTAAGTTACACAAAAGTTACTCTAGACTCTCGGTGCAACTCGAGCTTTTCGTCTGCAATAGTTGGTGGTTTGACTACAAGTACACCATACACTGGGAGGGAGTCGGTGCAGCTGGCTATACTATGAATGGCGGTCAGTGCGTGTCTACAGTTAATTGCGTCCGAAGTCTGATTGGCGAAACTGCGAACTGCGAAAACATCCCAGCAAAAACTGCTTGAAGAGGAGTTCATTATGTGCTTTGATCGTAAGCATGCGAGCCTGGCTGTGCAAATGTGTAATCGGAGACATTAAAAGCATAAAGTATGGCCATTTCTGACTGACCGGCTGATTGCCTTGTATGTTGCCAACAACGTTTTCTTGCCTTTTCCCCATGAGCTGCTGGCTAGCAACTTGAGATTTTTATTGCTGTCCTGTACTGTGGCAGTTATCGCGATCGTATGAGGAGTGAAGGAGTACAGGCTGCCGAATGTAACACCTAAAATCTAAAGGTTCTATAGAAGTTAAACAGTAGCGGGGAGAGGACACCCCCCTGCGAAATCCCCTATTTAATTATTCTTAATTTAGAGTTTTTACCGCGAGACAGTACGGATGATTGCCGACCGCTCACATAGTGCATGGTCCACTTCTTCAGCCCTGGAGGGAGCGTGGATTGTTCAATGTCCTCAAGTAGCGTTGCACGGTTGACTGTGTTAAAGGCTTTTGACAAGTGCAACGCTACAAGGATCGTAGGCCATGAATTATACGGGCATTTATGACATAAAGTGCTGTGGTGGTGTTGTGCACTTGACGGTAGTCATATTAAAGATCTGCTAGACTCAGGTGATGATTGAACGTCTTCTCTTCTTCTTTGGGGAATTCGTTTGCTATTATTACGCAATTGAACGCATATAATTATGTAAGTATCAGTCGAAATTTGGTTTATCTTGGAACCAGCATTAACCCCGAAAAGAGTGTCAAGCTGTAAACCCAACGTAAAATTACTTTAATCAAGAATTGCTAATTGGGACCGGAGCTAAAGCCATGCACAACTCTCATTTCACAGATGATCCGGAAGCTTGGTTGGGTGGTTCTTACGCATCCACCTTATAATATGGACCTAAAAATGTTTAAGAACATATGCTGTATTCCACCGATCTTTTGCTCAGCCAGTAACACCCTGTAGCACAATGACAAATACTATTGTGCAAAAGTGTGCAGTAAGCAAAAAGCAAAATTATAATAAATTCGCAAACCGGAAAGCTTGAGAAGCTCTACATTAGTATTTAGCGGTGCAAAATACAATTTACTTATCATTTAAGCTTGTGTACGAAAGCTTTAGATCAGCAAGAAATTAAAATGCCTACAATGGAAGAATATACAAATGTATGTATGTACATATGTATGTAACTAGTGCCATAAAATGTTAACTGGCTGTTATGTAAATCAAACGCAAATATAATATGCCACAGATATGTACATAGATATTTATATATGTATATCCAATACATACATATATACATATCTATCGTTAGGGTAAGTCAAAAACAAAATAAAAAAATGTCGCTTTTTACTCTGAAAAATACATAGGTTCTTAGACCTCTGTAAGAAAGTTTCTCCAATTATAAGCTCCTAATTGTAAAGGGAAGGGAAGGGAAGAGAAAAGATTAAAGTTTTCTATTTTTTTTTTATTAACAGTTAGAAAATTTCAAATCTTGCTTTCAACTGCTGGAAAAAATATAGCATTTCATGCATTTTGTTTTAAGGCAAATTTTTTTTTCTTATGAATTTTATAATTTAATGAAAAAAAATCATTATAAATCAGAAAACTCATAGACATTTTGTAGGAAATTTACTCTTCCACAAAAATGGTCTCTTTTAAAAAAAAAATTTACCTTAAAATGTTCAAACCTCAAGCGTAAATATCTTTTACACGATTACGTTTATAAAAAAAATTGTAAGAGACCTTTTTTGTAGGAAACTCAATTTCCTACAAAATTCTTGAATTTTTTGATATTTTTTCAAGCAGTTGTTTGGCCCTTTGCTTCTAATAGGTATATTACATGTTTTAATAGAAGTTATCAAGCCAAATTGTTTGAACACAAATTTTAAATCATAGTTTAGTTCGAGTATTCAAAATCTATTTTATATCAATTTTATATTTTTTATTTTATTTTTTTTTTTTTATATTTACAGCTTTTTTATGAAGCAAACACGATATTTAAAATACATGCACGCAAAATCATAAGAAAGCTGCTCAACAATTGTGTACGCATATGATTTGAAGCCACTGTATGTTTACGTAGTATATGATTACTCTCTGCAAGCATAGCAGCCACATGTTGGCTTGTTTTATTTTTGCACAGCGCGCAAATATCTACACACACACCAACATACACGCCAATCGCTTTAGCAAGCATGCTACACATGTTTGTGTGTTGCTATCATTCGCTTATTTCTTCATTGTCGTGCTTCACATTGGCAAACTGCTGATTGGTCGTATGTGCAAAAATGGCACGAAGTGTGCAAACTTCGGCAAAAATTTGCGAAAGCTCAAAGCGAATAAAATTTTTGCACAACACGTCGTATAGTTAAAGCTTCGTTGTTTAGACAACTTCGGCACTGTGATGAACTTCGGGACAACGTGCCAAAAGTTCGGCGCTGTGACGCCGCATGCTGATAGGTGGCCGTTGGTAGTCGTTAGTTCCCGAATCGTTTATTATCGCCCTCACGGCGCACCACAGACAGTTGGCGGCGGTAGGTTAGGAGTATCTTATACTTAATCAAAAAAGTTTTGCTATTCTTTTTTTGCGTTTGCGAATACATTTGTACATATGTATATATTATTATATATATATGTTATTCAGTATATACGGAGAGCGCTGTGCGTTGGTTTGTTAGTTAGCTGATAGTTCTTTTTGGGAAATGCGAAATGCTCCCGATGTGCCCAACTATAATATATGTACATACCAACATACTATAAGCATATGTGTATGTAGATATGAAATGTTTCTTTGTATTTTTGTTGGTCGACACTTTTACATTCGTTAACCTATTAACGCCCGAAATCTTTTTTCCTATAGCTAACAACAGCAAAATTTCCTATTAATCATTCCGATCGTTAGTATTCGAACTACATCTTATAAACAGTTGTTCGATTCCAAATTCCAAAACTCAACCAGGCATTCAAGCAGATAACCAATTTCAAACTAGTTCAAGAAATGTAAGGGGTTATATTTAGCTGACCATTCGTCGGTTTGGCCGGCTTAGAATTTAAAAAAAAATAAAAATTATGAAGTGAATAAAATTTTGTTGCGCTCTCACCTATTATATATCGCGACTTTCAGTGAAGTATAATATGGAAAAAATCGATGACTAAAAACAATCGTTCCGGTTTTGCCGGGAAAAATATGGGCACCTAAGGTTATATCCAAGTCAGAAAGAACTAATTTTTTCAAATTTTTTTAATTGACACTTTACTTATTAAATAAATAAAATTAATAAACATTTACGGAAACGAAAGTACTTTAATAATCGGTGATTCATTTCGAAAATTTTTGATTCCCTTGATCTCATAGCCGACCGATCTCCAAGAGGACCTCCGTAAAAAATTGCCTGGCGCTGAGGAAGAACCTAAAATTAATTTACTGTTAGTGAATACGTGTCAAAATTTTGATTTTTGGACCAGTGGAAATTTTAAAAATGGCAGCTTTCCAGTATTTTTTGTGAAAAAATTATACTTCAGCGTGGCCTAAAATATCGAAATTGCTTTCAAAAATCTTATTCCTTCGATCATTAACTGACAAATATATCTGAATTGTCATTAACTGACAAATATTTTTACGAACATTATGTGAAATTTTCAAATCAATGGGTCCCGTCGTTTTGGAAAAATTTTGCTCACCGACTCTAAAAGCAGTGTTTCGAGAAAAACGTGTTTAAAGTTTTGGAAGCCGATTACTTTAGGTAAAATTTTTTCTCTAAAACTGTTTGCCGGATCAACTTCAAATTTTATAAACGAATTTTCAAATACATATACAAATATGTATATATACATGTGTATATGGAAAAAGTGGATATAACCCCTTAAGCGAGTATTCTAGTCTAGAAACTTGGAAAAAATCGAAAAGTTGGTTTATTTTTCATATTTCGATAGTTTGTTTAAATGTTCAAAAAAAAAATCGCTTTAAAAGGATTCTTGAAAATTTAAATTATTTTACAGTTAATTAAGCTTGTGTAAAATATTGCAATGAAAACTTTTTGCCGTCGCAAATTTTCATAAATTTCTAAGTAAAAAGTAAGCGCCCTTTAAAGTTTTAATTTCACTTGAAGCTCATAGCGCTGTGCGTCAATTTTGCGCGTAAGTGTGCGAAATCATTTTTTTATTGTTTTCTTTTTTTTGCCAACTATTTGCTATTTTATTTGCTGGTTTTTGCTCACGCATTCGTCGTCGGGAGATTGGTTGACTCTCACGCACGGTTGAGGGATAGTTATTTACTTATGTATGTGTGCATATATGAATGTATATGTATGTGTGTATGTGTGTAACTTTGTACTCGGCTGCGTGCTGTTGTTGCGATTTTTTTTATTTTTAGTTTTTTTTTTGCCGCCTGTCTGCTATTTGCTGTTTTCGGCATTTGTTTTCGGTCGATTACGTTGTTGTTGCTCTTGAAATTGCGTTTTCAAGTTCAAGTTTATGGACGCGGCAATGATGTGGCCGTGGCTTTGAATTCGCGTATCTATGTGTTTTTTTTTTTTTTGGTTTTTTTTTGCGTAACAATTTGGTTCGCTATTCTTGCGATTGCGATGGCGAATTATTTTTATAGCAACTGGTGAGCAAAAGGTTGGATTTTTTTATGCTCAATTTGGAACTTTTTTATTAACGAATTTTTTAAATAAATATGTAATATTGGATTAAGGAATTATTTAAATACTAGAAATTTTATATTAACAGTTTTATACAAAAAATTATATACGAAAAATTTGATATGAAAAATTTTGTAAAAAAAAATTGTATAGAAAAATTTTTTGATTTCGAAAGTATTGCCGTTTTTACTTTTTCTGTTGCTGTTTCTGCTGTTCTCGGCTTTGCACCTTTTGCTTCCTTTCTTATTTGTGCTTTTTCTTTCGCACTTCTTCTATTCGCTTCGCACACAAGCACATATTCCGCGCTTTTTCATGATGGCTGTTCTATTTTTGTAAAGTTCATTTTGTTTTCGCCATTTCTTCACCGCCGCTCCAGCGGAACCCGCCCCGCCCATCTGACCGCTTTGCTCTCGTCTATTTCGTGCAGAATTAAATGTTTTGTTATTAACACAAGTAACTAACGCACACAAATACCAGCATGCATACATATGTAAGTATATGTATGCATACTATATACATATGTGTGTATGTACATTGATAACTCATAGAAGTTTTAGCAAAAATGTATGCAATTTTTCAGCGCTTATATGTGACAAACATACATTTGTTTGTATATATGTACATGTGTATATTTTCTTTACTATCACTGCTTCGCCAATTCTTTGTCAGCATTCAACGGATAAATTTTTGAAAATTGTATTTAGTTTCTTAGAACTTTTGTGTCCCACTGTTGTTAGCTTTGCACTATACGTATGAGAGGGCACGCTAGCCAATGGACAGCTACGCCATCTTGGTGGGCGCTAACTTGTTTTTGCATACCGAACCCGACGTAAGGCGTGGAGACAGCTGTTAAGCGACTTTTTGCAAAACTTCTCAAGCTGCTGTTACAGACACACGCTTCAAAACATAGATATGTATGAACGCCAACAAAAGTAGAATAAAATAGTTGAGAAAGCAAAAAAAAACCTGCCTTACACGTGGAGCTGGCTGGCCGGCGGCCCGGCGACAACTAGACAGACACACATCTATTTCAGGTATGTATTTAATATATGCGTATGTATTACATATGCATATATATACATGTATATATACATATATAAGCATGTAAGTGCCATCAACTTCCATAAATATCTGTTACGACTATTGACTTTTGTGTGTATTTGCATTTTAACTTCTTTAGCGCTTGTCTCTAAAGCCGGGAATTGTCTGTGTTCCCGCAAATATACACATACATACATTTTTATGCAAAGCTATAAAAAGTAGGCATGTAAGATGGCAAATTTGCAGCAAAAAACCCGAAAGTGGTAATTTGTTGGAATTATTCATTAACAGGGGTAAAAAATACTAGTCTATTTGGGAGAGTTATGTTACAAGTGTATGTATGAAATCGGTGAATTGCTAAATTTGCTGGTGAATACGCTGAAGCAGTTTTAAAATAATAATCGGCTTTTTGAATCTTTTAGCTAATAATAAAAATGAGCGCTTGATTCTAATGGCTGTTCAAAGAACTAGAAAGCGCATACGAGTATATGTATGTATGTAAATTCTTATGTATAGCAGCTAAGCTGTTATATTTTTTTAAACTAATTTATGCTTAGGAAATTATAATTATTTGGCAATAAATTAGCTTCTATGATTTTAAACTTTTTTCTAATTTTTTAGGCTCTCGACAATGCCTGGAATATCGCCCTTAAATAACTTACTCTTCTATACCAATAAGCTAGATACATGGACGTGAGTATATAAAAAGCATGGACTCAACTAAAAGTTTTGTGCTAATAATTTCGAAAACAAATCGGTTTTTTTTAAGGTTAAATAACGAAAATACTATGTATAATATGTAAAAATATTAACTAAACCCAAATGCAAAGTATACACCTCGCGCAGCTTTGGAAACGTCAACCTCATGCTGTGCGTTCAACCCGCCATATGTGCTTTTCGTAACGGTAATATTTAAAAACTTTCATTGATTATTCTACAAATATTAATTGTGTCAAAGTTCAAATTCGTATAGAGGCACTTCTACCCTCGCTATCACAAATAAAATATTCAATACATTAATTAAATGTAATAAATAAATTTTTGAAAAAAAATGTTGGCTTTATTTTTTTTCTAGGCCGTGGTATGTATTAAATAATTAATTAATTTTAATCCGTAATTTTTTAAACATAATTTAGAAATTTAATTAAAATTAAATAAATTTTTAAAACATAATTAAGGAAGAATTTTCCTATCTGAGCCATATGCATTAATTAATTAATTAACTAATTTAAATTAAATATATTTTTTGTAACATAATTTTGAAATTTTATTATTTCTTAGTCGTGGTATGATTAATTAATTTAAATTACAAAAAAATTTGTTTAACATAATTTAGGGTTTGTTTGTTATTTTTAAGCCGTGGGATGTTTTACATAATTAATTTATTTTTATCAATAATTTTTTTAATATAATTTAAGGATTATAATATATCTCTAGCATTAAATTAAATTTTATATAATTTAGAATAAATAAAAATTAAATTAATATTTAAAAAGTAATAAAGGCCCTTATTATATCTAAGCCATTGTATGCATAAATTAATTAATTATATAATTTAAATTAAATACATTTTTTTAAACATAGTTTAGGCTTTTTTATATCCAAGCCAAGTATATACATATATGTGTTAATTAATTATTATCAATCAACAAATTTTTAAAAATATAATTTAGGATTGCTTTAAATAATAAATTTTAAAACATAATTAAGGACATTTTTATATCTAAAACGTTATATGCATTAATTAATTAATTAATTTAAATTAAACAAATTTTTGTTTAACATAATTTAGGACATGTTTTTTATTTTTTAACCTAAATAATTTATTTATTTTTATCAATTATTGATTTTCAATATAATTTGCGATTAATTAAATTTTAAAAGATATATTTTAAAAAACATTAATATAAGCATTATCTAATTAATTAACTAATTTAAATTAAAAACATTTTTTCAAACGTTATTTAGGCTTTTTGAATTCTTGTTAATATATTAATAAATTAATTAATATTAATCAACAAATTTTTAAAAATATAATTTAGGATTAAGTAAAATAAAATTAATTTTTAAAACATAATTTAGGATATTTTTATATCCAAGCCGTTATATGCATTAATAAATGAATTCAAATAAATAATATAATTATTTTTTTAAACATATTTTGGAATATTATTATTACTTAATTGTGGTATGTACACACCAAATACATGTGTATGTACTTCTGCATGATTATTTAAAAAAAAAATTTTATTCAGAGACTAAATTATTTTCTAAACAAAGAAATTTAAAAAAAAAATCATAACTTGCACCAATACATGTACATTAGAGTCTGCAAAAACCTAAAAAAAAATCTCAACTCTTTAGTTAATATACTATATACGTACATACATTAGGGTGCTTCAAACAATCGATTTTTTCACCCACCGCTGTTTACATACATACATATCTATGGGCACTTGTAAACTATGTATGTTTGTATGTATATAAAATTATCCCTATAGAATTAACAAAATTATAAAAATATGTTCCGTTAAGTATATATGTAACGCCAATATCAAAACATATTTACAAGTTTACATAAATTGTTATCTCCACTAGTAAATATCTACATTTCATTGCCAAATTTTTAACGACCCTCACATTGTTATTGCCTTAGCATAAAATTATAAAACATATGTTCTTGTTGTTGTTGTCCGACATAATTTTATTTTGAGAAAACCTTGAGTTCTAATATTTATTTTTCACTAATCAAATTCACATAGAACTTTTTTCGGTATTGGCAACTATATTCGCACACACAAATGTTTATTTATGTACAGGCAAATGTAAATATGTATGAACATACATACAGCTGTAAATATAACACAATGTATATGTGTATGTTTAACAATTGTAATATTTTTTTTACTGGCGACCTTCAGCGGCGAAGTAGCTGCGCCAAACACTTCGGGCGGACTTACAATAAAATGCTCTTGAACACACACCACACACACACGCGAACATGTGTAAATGCCCTAAATCACACTAATGGCTAATAATATATATATATATATATATATATTTGTATGTATGTATGTAACTACTTACAACGCCATCGGCAAAAAAATGTGTGTCAGCGCAAAAATCCACACAAAACAACAACGAATTCTTAGCAAGCTGGCGAATATTGAAACCGAATTGATATGAGCGGTGTGTAACAAGATTACAATTTCAGTTATCAACAAATAAATAAATTTTCCGATATCAACAAGTGTGTATATATACCTATACTTACATATGTACATATGTCGGTACATCTTAATATAAATAAATAACAAAAACCATTCATTTGACTTCGTTATTCCTGAGCTTTGCAGCAATAAATTAGCGCTTTGTTACATACATATATACACATACACATACACTTACATTTACATACATATGTATGTACATATATGTTAAGCAAAAGTGCCATATTAGTAGAAACATATATATGTATGTAAGCGCTTGCCTGTATGTATTAGACATTGATATTTGCATTAACTACAGATACTTATAGAAATTTTAATATCTCGGCTAAAGATTCAATGCTTCCGCGTCAGCAAAAATGTACATATATTGCAATTAATTTTTTTTTTTTTTAAATTTGAGCGATAAGAGTTTTTCATTAAACATTTTAAATTGAAAATTTTGAAGAAGTTAAGTTTAAAAATTTTGCTTTATCACAAAATATATAAAAAATAAAATTTCAGTTGCTTGAATTAATTATTGTAAAAATATTTTTAGTATAAAAACGCATGTTGCTTAGGGTGTATCAAAAAAATCGATAATGTCTTTCACTTCCTACTCTGAAAAATTGGTTCTTAGACATCGCTACGAAAATCTCTCCCAGTATCGTATGAGCTTTTGATATTCTTACGAAAATCCTACGCTTTTCAGTTGACTATTTTTTCTTATTATTAGCAAAAAAATTCATGTGTCAGCATACACTATTTGAAAAAAAATAATCTCGTTATATTTGTAAAAAATTGAATTCTCTACACAATTGTCTACAACAATTTTTTTTTTGTAAGCCTAACCTTTAAAAGTTATTAAAGGTATTCGATCATTTTTTGTAAGCGAGTTAAAAAACTTATAAAAGAACAGCAAAATACTTTTAAATAGTTTAAATTTAACATTTAATAACTTTTGAACGGTGAGAGGAAAAATTAACAAAAATGAATGCATTTTTTTAACCAAATATTGCTTGTTGACCTTAAATATAAAAGAATATCAACAATTTTAGTGCAATGGGGGAATTCGCAAACAAATTTTGTTATATAAAGCATGTATTTTTAAATTTTTTGCTTGCATTATATTTCCGGCACAACAAAAGGACTCGAATTCAAACGCGAAAATATTGTAATTAATAATTTGTTAAATTTCCTACAGGGTAGCTGCTAAACATTTTCAAATAACATCACATGACTGCAAATTATTTTAGCGCAAACAATATTCCCAGTGTTCAAATACGAAAAGATTACTCTTGATAATTTATCGAATTTCCTACAGGGTAGCAACAAAACATTTTAAACATATTAACGTCTGCAACTATTTTTTTTCAAGCAGCATACATACATACATATAAACATAGAAATAATAAATAAATACATACATATGTATGTGAAAATCTATATTTTTGAACATACATATACACGCCCAACATATATAGTACAAAACATACATACTCTAATCAAGCTAATCAAAACTTACAACAACAAAATAAATGAGCATAAAGCATAAGCGTAATAAAATGTAATACAAGCATAAAAGTAGAAAAATGTCAAGCTTTTTTCACTAACATATTTACGTTTATACGTACATACATATTTGTGTTCACAATGCTTGTAAAATCAAAGTTTTCGCTCAAATAAATTTCTTTACATTTGTCCCAATTTTCTGTTTTTGAATTTCAATGCTTTGAGTTACATATATAACTAAAAAATGTATGCATGTATGAAATATATATATATATACATATATCTATACATTTGTTAGTCTGTATTTTTTTATTTTTATTTTTTTTTTTGGTTTGGTTCTTGTCTAATTTTTGCTGCTGATTTAATAAAAAATAAAAATGATCTTTGCATGCGTATTATTTTTGCCATTCGGTCGCTTCGAACACGTTTTTCAATTGGACACAACTTTATACGAAATATACTTTAATTAAATATAGAACATTTAAAAATTTTGAATATTCAGAAAAAAAGTGCAGAAATCGCTGCAGCTTCAGCAAATGAAAGTAGTTCACTGACAATGACGTGTAAAATAGATCAGCATAATAATATGTAAAAATGTAATATGTATGTATGTATGTATGTATGTTTGTACGCACATATAGGTATTTTTGTAAGTCAGCGTGACTGGCGCGTTGAGCATACGCGGCTAAATTCAAGGTCAGCGCGCTAAAAGGCAGCTTATTCTATTTTACATATACATATATTGTACATATTTTTATACTCTCGCAACCTGTTGCTACAGAGTATAATAGTTTTGTTCACCTAACGGTTGTTTGTATCACCTAAAACTAATCGCGTTAGATATAGGGTTATGTATATATAAATGATCAGGATGAAGAGACGAGTTGAAATCGGGGTGACTGTCTGTCCGTCCGACCGTCCGTCCGTCCGTGCAAGCTCTAACTTGAGTAAAAA